ATATACACACACAAGACATCCAAGGCGCTTTATTGCTGTGTTAAAAGTGTTTACATTGCAAAAGCATTAATAAATATTGTACATATTTATATACATAAATACATACACATATACAGACAATAAAGGTCTCCCACTCTGGCAAGAGAAAAAGAAAACAGCCTAGCAAGGGAAAGCAGCCAAAAACCACATCTACTAGCGCTGGAGTGGATAGAGGGAGTAGAGGGAAAGAGAGAGGGAGAGGGATAGCGAGAGGGAATGGGGAGGGATCAGTTTCTAGGCTAGGCTGTGGTTGGCTCTGCTGATGGATGGACTCGGGATAGATCGAGTTACACCATTTGCCGTGCATTAGTTTGTTTTTCCCCGCTCAGAACGGAGAGAGACACTTAAAGCTTGACTCAGAGTTGTTGCGATCCAAATCGCGTAAAGAGAACCACGGTTTCAGATGAGGTGAGTTTATTTTATTGGGGAAAATGCAACGTTACGAGCGTGTGAGACTGTAAAAATGGAGAGAAGGAAAAGAAGCGGCAAGAAAAAGATTTCCAAAACATCAGAAGTACTATAGGTGCAGCGCAAAAATAGAACTGGAGCTATTTTTATTCACCCTGTTACCCGTTCACACTGATTCGGATTGTTTATAAGAGGAGTGACGCACGCGCTTAAAGTTCTTCATTCCGAAGAGCAGATCTCTTGAGGTAATTACTTAGTTTGTTTTATTTGATTTGGGTTGTATTGGTTTGGTTTGGTGAATGACGGGGGGATGGTACTAGAGGAGAGGGAGGGTCTTGGTGCTATTTGATCGGTGAGCTTTTGAAGATCACAAAGCTTTATCCAGAAGACGAGCTGGACGAGCCCCGTAGGCTCTGGGAATTGTTTTGCGTGGTTCGGATAAAACAAACACATGGGGATCCTCTGGCTTTATGGAGCGAGCTACACACATGCTGTCTTATTGCATTGGATTTAATAGCGTAAAACACTTTGGAATATAACGGAGAGAGTATCGTAATCTACATGCTCGTTTGGAGAACATTCAGGTAGGATTTCTGTTCTCATTCTTACACTTTGTTGTCACACAAATGTTGAAGCAAATGGTGTAATACTGCTGTACCGAAACTTTTTTTCTGTATTCGAGCGCAATCATGCGCTTAGATAAAAGTAACTGATTATATTTAGCATTTAATGAGATAAATCAATACTGTCACATCCTGTTGCCTCTATTCGATTAGTTATTCTTTTTTCTTTCCTTGTATCTATCTTTTTCTTATTGCTTCTATCATGTCCCCCCCCCCCCCCCCTGCGTATTAACATAAAATGAAAATATAAATGCAAAAAAAAAAAAAAAAAAAACACCGGGATTTAAATAGTGTAAAAACGCACAAAGCTGAGACAGAAGCTGATTCAAGCATTTGATTCCCCAATTGTATCGTTTCTCTCCTTGCATACTAGCCTATAAACGGGGTCAGATGGGACAAGGGTCAGAAATTAACCCAAACATAGGGCAAAAATGCTCAATATAGATATTTAAAATATGGGGGCAACATGTTCCTCTTGTGAATTCGCATGATTTTACCTACAATTAGAAATGTATATAATATATATTTAATGAAATATACCTATGTCCATTTATAGCCATAGCCACTTTAGTGTCAATTTTAATTAGCCTAGTTCAATCATTTGAAATGTTTGGAACAAATAGGCGGCACGCTTTATGTGAGGGGGAAAAAAGCCCTCATAAAGATCAAAAATGCCCCTTTAAATCAATGCCAGTTATTTTCTGACATTGGATGGGACAGTGTCTCCATAATGCACTTTAGATCTCTCCTGTCCCTTAATGATGAGGGATCGAAGTTCACACAGAAGTACAACAAGGAAGATCCACAGTCATAAATGCATCTAACCTTTGCCTGGGAGTTACATTATGTCATTCAAACTGATACAATCTTTTAAACCGCAAAACAATAATAATATCTCTACTGCCGGTAGAATATGGTCCGAGGTAGAGGGAGGGAGAGAGATAGTGTTGCCGTTGTTGTGTAAAGTGGGTTTTGGAGCCCACGGTCATGCATTAACACAATCAATTTCCCAGCAGAAGCCATTACCGACCTAACACTCCACTGTTGTCTTTATGCATTTACTGCAACTCAAGAGATTCGTCACGGCTCGGCTCCAGCCTGAACGCTTTGATTCATATGCTCTCTTCAGAGGCGGAGTTCAGGTCCGTATCCGAACGGAGAGGTGTTTGAAGATGCTGTTCATATCGGTCATAGACAAACTGTTGAGTGACATCCGACATGCGCTGTGATAAACACACATGTAGCAAATGAAGCGAAATGCGTTTTTTTTTTACGTGAGTGGCAGCCGTCAACAGAATGAATGAATGAGTTGTAAGAACGAAGTTTTTTTTTTTTTTTTTTTTTTTTTTTTTTTATACACACAACCATCTCGTTTTATTCCGTGTAGCCTACGCGCAGAATGTTGCTTGTTACAAAATACTGAGGCAAATGTTGAGTGCAAAACACGAAGTAGGGGAGACTGATTCAATGTCTCAATTTGATATAAAGTACCTACCATCTTTGAGTGGGTTGCAAGACTAATAGAAAACATACGTTTAAATGCCAGCTGTCGTTCATCAAAGTACATTTTTCAAAACAATTGTTATGCCACCATCCCACATGGTAATTCACAACAGTAAACTAGAAAACATTTTAATTCAAACCAGCTAGCAACAAATGTCAAACAAATACATTAAACCATAAGCTAACAACTACAACACAAGCTAAAAACATAAGGCATAAGTGTATGTTTGTGCTGAGCTTTTGTCCAGATTGTGAACCCCACATGTCCCAACAAGGACAGTAAAACAGGAATAGAAAATATAATTTGCTTAGAATAAAAACATGTCAATGGAAAGGCTCCACAATGATACAAATAATGTGGTAGTAACACAACACAGATGAATAGGTTGTAAGGATGTATATCAAATAAATCTTACAACTACTGTCACCTCAGAACGATGCTGGTCATATAGTGATTTTACTCTATAGCTCATTTTTAATTGGTTAAACGTGTTACAACTCACTCTTTATTACAACACTCTCCGCTCTTCTCCATTTCTTGCTGTGTGACCATATGAAAGTTAATGACATATGCTGTTCTCCTAATGCATGCTTTTGTTAATTTGTGCTTCATGAATGTGTGAGTTTGAGAGTTTTATATCTGATAAACACACTGCAAGAGTGTGCGGCCTCTTATCTCAGCTGAACCTGTCAACCCTCTTTCAGAGAGCGCCAGATAACATCTACCTCTTCTGAAACTTCACCGTGAAGCAGTTTCAGCACTTTTCATGTGGGTGTGTGAATAGTCAGTCACAACAGCTGGCCACATTGTGTCCACTAAGCCCATGCCAGTCCTGCTGCCTTGTGTTCAGTCTCGGTCAGGCTTGAGTAACTGATTTAACCTTTAAAGCATGGAGGTCTCCTCACTGGCCTGGACTGAACGGACTCTGAGCTCGCTATTGTTCCCTCAACACACACACTTGCATACACCTGCAGGACAGGGCTTTGGGAGAGTGGGGGTGGGGAGTGGAGCTGCTCAGGTGGGCCCTGACCTGTCTTACAGATGTGGAGTAACAAGTTGTGACTCCTCAGCAGTAATCCCACTGTAAACAACTTTATGATTTCAGTGCTCTTCTGTGGGAGAGCTCTAATCTCAGCGCGAGCGTCTCTGAAACCACACACATCACAACTGTTGAGTTGTGAGAGTAGATCCGAGGGCCCGTTGTTCAAGGTCATTTTAAGGTTTGAGGGTGCGTTATGACCAATATCTTATCACAATACATGTAGATGTTATATCACAATATAGCTTTTTTTTAAAGATTCTTGTAAAATATATAAATAGTTTGGTTTCCATTTGTTAACATTACATAATGTAAAGGAACATACTTCTAAAGCTAACATGAACATTGTATTTTTATTACCTAACATTAACAAAAAATAATAAACATTTTAACAAATGTTTTGCTCATTTTTAATTTTAATTATTGTATTAACTAATTAAATACACTTATTGTGAAGTGTTATATTGTGCATAATCCAGCTAATTAGATACAATACAAATGAAAGATACTTAATCTGACTTGATTATTTATTTATTAATGAAACTTTTTTATTTGGTGGACACAAACCAAAATATATGTAATCTAATAGTACATACTCTGAATTCTGATTGGATGAGCCACAATGCTACGGTAAAACAAACATTATACATTACTGTTCACACACAGCATTCTGACATCATCACAGTGTAATGTAAAATTATCAATATACACACACCTGTGTCCACAAATCAGTTTTATATTATATTTATTAACACAGAAACGCGGCAAAGTTGCTTGGCAATCATAAATGAATAAACTGTTTTGTGTTGTGCCTAAGAAATACCTTTAAATACAAGTTTTAAACTTAAATTAAAGATCTAAAACAAGTTTGGGACAGGTTTGGCACACATCCCGCTCTGTATTGTCACGTTGTTCCATTTTTATTAATTGCTTTTGTATGGAAACATAAATCACTTCTGAGCACTGATAGCCACTCGTATATTTCCACCACGATATAGCAAAGTCTCCGCCAGCTGGCACATTTCTGCCATTGTGTGGTATATACCATCATACTTCCCAGCCTTATTTTACAGCTTCTGTTGATTTATTCCTTCATCTTCTTTCTCAGTGTCAGGCCTCGGGCAGATCTGCGGGGCTTGTGTTAAACTAAAGCTAAAGTTGATTGAAATGCTCCTCAGTTAAGCAACATAATTCTCTCCTGTCTCAAGATGCATAAAACTTACCATAGCACATCTGCTGCACTAATGCAGACAGTGGGGAGCGTTTATTTCGCAAGGTTAACTGAAACCACTGAACGCCACCGACCGGCTTTGTTCTTTTGGCCTTCACTGTCGCGTTTGCTACAGCTGGACTCTGGCGGGGCGGGCACTGGGTGGATCTGCTGCAGGCAATCTTACTGGAACCACCTGCCAACACCAGGGGCGTGCCAGCATCCCGGGAAACACTGCCAAAAACATCAGCGAGTGCGTGATTGCGTCGCACTAAGAGAGGCTGTAACGAGAGTAGCCAAGGAGCAGATAAACATTAACAGGTTGCGTGACTAGTCGACTCTCTCTCCACGCAGGGCCTGTCCGGGCTCACACACCGGAGGGCAAGAATGGAAAACCAAACCAAGACGTTCAATAGAAAACACGTTGCGCTTGTGTATATTGAAAAGAAATTTAAGACGGCTGACCTTTGTATGTCCTTTGTTTCTGTTTTGCATTAGGTTTCTCTTGCTTCTCTTTGCCCAAGCCTGGTGTTTTTCGTGCATCGGAATTGTTGTGGTATTGTAGCATGTCTCTGTATCTCCCTGTGGTGTTTCTATGAATAATGATTAGAGCGAGTAAGGAATTTCTGTCATTGACACTGAATATGTTCCAGGGTGCTGGAAATATCCCCTCTTTATTTCATGAAGTAATATCCAGGCGGAGGAAATGATACGGCGCTGTGAAGCTGTGATTAGACTTCCAGTGCTGTATTAAACTGGGGCTCCTCTTGTACACATCGCTTAATCCATACGGTGTTTCCCGGCCCCTCCGAGAGCTCTGTTCTGCTGATGTGTGCACTTCTGTACGGATCAAAGATGCGCTTGGGAAAAGAAATTCATTTGGAGCTCTGTTATGATAGACATTTTATGACCCCTTGACCTTTGACTTCCACTAAGTGTCCAAGCGTTAAAGCTTTTAATCGCTCAAGCCCCACATGGGCAAAGAAAACAATCTTTATTCTTGTCCCGTCTTCTGGTCTCTCCTCTTTTCATTTTCTCACCGTGTCTCGTCTTGATCCTTCTCTTCTCATCTCAGTTGTTTTGTTGTCGTCTTTTCTTGTCTCTCATGCTTGTCTCATCTCATCCGGTGTGCCCTTCTTATCTCGTCTGTTTTATTTCTGTGTCCTCCTCCATATTGTCTCACTTTTTCTCTTTCTCACATTCCTGTCTCATCTCTTCTCCTAGCCTCCCCTGCTTCAATGCATGCCTCATCTTGTCTCGTTTCTTCTCACCTTGTCTTTCTCTACCTTCTGGGCTCATCTTGTCTCTCCTTTTCATCTCTTCTTGTCTCATCTAGTCTCTCATGCTTGTCTCGTGTCATCTAGTGTGTCCTCATCTTATCTGTTCTATCTTTGGCCTGTCTTGGCTTTTCTTGTCTTCCTTTTTCTCATTTCTTGTATTATCTTTTCTTTTACCTAGTTTCTCATCCCTGTATCATGTTCTCTCATTGCCTCTCTTTTCTTAATTTTTTGTCTCATCTTATCTCTTTTCTTTGATCTTTTATCTCTATATTCTATTCTCATCTAGCCTCTCATCCTTTCTTCTTGCCTCTCCTTTCTTCAAATCTTGCCTCGTTTGGACTAATCCTATCTTGTCCATCCTTTTCATCTCTTCTCATCTCATGTTTTTTTCTCGTCTCACCTTGTCTCATGTTTGTCTCGTCTCATCTGATGTGTCCTCCTTGTTCTATCTGTTCTATGTTTTATCTTGTCTCCTATTGTCCTATTGCCCCATTTTTTCTCATTGACCTCTCACTTTTTCTCCTCATCTTTTCTTTTCTTTCCTTTCCTTCTCTTCTCTTATTTTCTTGTCTCAAATGTCCTATTTTCATCTAGTCTGTCATCCCTGTCTCATGTCCTCTCCTTGCTTCAATTCTTACCTCGTCTCATCGTCTCTCCTTTTCTTCTCTTCCCGCCTCTTATCCATGTTTCAGCTCCTCTTGTCTAATTTTTTTCTCATCTTGACCTTTTTTTCTCACCTAGTCTCTTCTTTTCTTTCCTTTTCTTGTTTCATATTTTCTGTTCTTTTCTCATCTAGTATCTTGTCCTCTCATCTCCTCGCTTCAATTTTCACCTTGTCTTGTCTCTTCTCTTCTCATCTCGTCTCTGCTTTTCTCATCTCGTCTGTTGTCTCTCCGTCCCTTCTCTTCCCTTCGTCTACTCGTATCATCAACCTTTTCTCTCTTCTCATCTCATCTCAAAAAATTGCCAGAGAAAGAGTCGTTTCTATTGATCTGATCAAAGCTCGATAGCCCAGAATCCCTTGCAGTCAGCCTGTAGAAATGAAGATCCATTATGGCAACAGATGAGCAGAGAAACTCCCTTCCTTGCAAGACTGTGGATCATGTTTCAGTTGGAGAATTTCCCCAGGCCACGTCCCACTCAGCTGATCAATTGAGAGCTGATCAATCAACGGCTAATCAATAATAGCAGGGTGGGACAGGCAGGATATACATATTACAGTGTGGGAGCAGGTGCACAGGGCCGCTAATTGCAAAAACGTCAATACTATATGCAAGCATGTGTGGCGAGACACTCTCAGGAAGTGGTTGGGGCCTGACTCACTCACTCACTCTCGTTCTGCCAAGCTGCTTGTTGTCTCCATGTAAATTGTTTATATCCGTTCGGGCTTTGCTGGCATGAATAATTTGTAGCTTTATAAATATTTGACTTTACACTGCTCATTAATATGCACAGATGATTGTCTCTCCAGGACACGACCCCAACCACAGCATGCAGACCTTTGAAAATCTTCCTGTTTGAATGTCCGTTTGAAGACTTCTGTGCCAGGCGCAGCAAACACACTCCCACCTGTAGTACTCAATCCCAACACACATGCGCACACACTTAATAGTACGCAAATTATATCTTAAAATAAAATAGTGAAAGTGTGTATCAGTGCTAGCTGATAGCGCAACGTTCATTTCTGCGTTTGTGGTGTCTCAAACACTCACTTTTCCACCCCCTCTCTGTCTGTTTTTTGACCTTCCTCTCATGGACAGGTTTTCAATCAGGGGTATTGGCTGCCAAATACACACACACACACACTAAATGATCTGTTGGGAGTGAACCTGTATGCGTATAAAAAGCAGGCGTTCTAATCTATGTAGCAAATCCTGACAGAGGTCATACAAAAAAACAAAAGAGGAAAGAGCGCCTGGGATGCATGTTGACATCTGTATTTCTGTGTGTGTTGCAGGTAACATCTACATAAGTGCAGTACAGGTGGTGTTTGCCCTCTGTGCCAGCAATGGGGTGGCGAGAACTGAAGACTGACCTGCTGCTGCTACTGCTGCTGATGGCGTCCCACCTGGAGGCTGTGAGCTTTCCTGAGGACAACATCCCTTTAGATGTTGTGGACAGACACTGTAAGCACAGGGAAACGTCATTCTGTTGAATTCTGTGAATTGCCCCCAGATCTACATAAGATCTTTATCAAGTTCTTAGAAAAAAACATTTCTTTTCTTCAGCTAAGTGCACTTTTGGTCCTGCAGGCTTTTAGAAAATAAACTCCCTCTCACTAGTTCATCATATTTCCCATTAACAATGGCCAGTGGATATAAATACACACAAACAAAATAGTTTTTGTCATTTTTCCAAACCTTTTTCTGAACAAATTACATTTCCACCATCTCGATTCATGTACGTTTTATTAGCAACCCCTTTGTCTTCCAAAGGAAAATTTCATAATTAGTATTTATGTATTGTAAACATGAACAATTAAATTACATAGTCACCCTTGTTTTTACACAATTTAATAAAATGACAGCTAGATTGGAAAAGGCGCACACTAAAAATATTCTAACATGTTAAATATTGAAATGGTTTGTTTTATTGTTGTTTTAAAACTACAACAACATAATAATAATAATCTATATGTTTATAATGGATTTTCCTAGTTTAATATCGGAAGTCTGGGTTTGGGACTAGGCCTATTTAAACCAATAAAATCAAAGTAATATGAAAGGTAAGCAAACAATAAATGATGATAAGGCATTCTAAAATATTGCAAGTAATAATTTGTTTTAATATCAACCTCTTGGACACAAAAAAGTGCCTTTACTTGAAAATACAGCCATCCACACTCTTAAGAAGACATACACGTCTATAGTCGCTGCATTAGCGCTTCTGTGCTCTGCAGTGAGAAAACACCCTAGCATGCTGACAGTGCAGTCGCTGGACGTCAATGCGGGAGCTGCTGGTGTAATATTCATTACTTTAGCAAAGCCTTTCTTCAGGGCAGTTTAACATGCAGTTGCAACAGCCAATCAATACCAACATCGATCTCTGTTGACGCTAATACTGAATAACAGCGCATCTGTTTGTTCTGCAGATGCACGACAGTACCCGGTTTTCCGTGGACGGCCCTCTGGCAACGAATCTCAGCATAGACTGGACTTTCAGCTGATGACCAAGATACATGATACACTCTTCATCGCTGGCAGGTAAGTCAGCACTTAAACAGGATGTGGAACCAAGGATTTCGAGCGCTTGACCTGCTCAGACAAGCTGGTTGACGAACAGTAGAACTGTGAGTAGTAATGTGTGTGTAATGTAAACTGTTTCTATCTTTCTCACAGGGACCAGGTGTATTTAGTGAGTCTAAGAGAGTCCTACAGGAATGAGATAATTCCATACAGGGTGGGTTTACAGTAAATCACTTTATGACTGAACGCTCTTGTTCTAACCAGGCGTGACACAATAAAGCGGCAAGCGATTAAGTTCCAGTAATGGCACCACTTTTTGTAAATCGCTAGGTTTCTGTTTGTCTTTCTGTCCCCGCCCACAGTAAAATGGTATTGGTCCAAAATTGGACTTTACAGAGCTATAAACATTAAAACGTCAAAGAATTAAAAACATTATCATATATATACACATATATATATATTAGCGCTGGGCAACGATTAATCGCGATTAAACCCATCCAAAATAAAAGTTTGTGTTTACATAACGTGTGTGTGTACTGTGTATAATTATTTTGTTTATATAAATACACACATATGCATGTATATAATTAAGAAAAATTTGTTATTTATATATAAAATATTTATATATAATATAAATTATGTATGAATATATATACAGTATACACATGCAAATATTTCTTAAATATATACATGCATATGTATTTATATATATATATATAAATATACAAAATAATTATATATATATATATTACAGCTGTATAAATATTAATTACAGCTGTAAACCTTTTGCATCATGCCTGATTAGAAAGCAGTGTAGTACAGTGTTAATGTTTATGAGTGTGCGGGTGGGAAACTGTGTCTAATGGTAATGGTGTGTGATATCACAGAAGCTGACGTGGCGGTCGGGGCAGGCGGACCGGGAGACGTGTGCCATGAAGGGAAAGCACAGAGTGAGACCTCCACCTCTTCAGCAAAAATCAGCTGTCATTGGTCTTGTAGTATTTACAGCACTAAAGCAATCATAAATCTCACTGTCTTGTCTTCCTCTCAGGACGAGTGCCATAATTTCATTAAAGTCCTGGTTCCGAGAAATGATGATCTTGTGTTCATCTGCGGAACAAATGGTTTCAACCCCATGTGCCGTTACTACAGGGTAGGTCACACTGTTTATGAGGTCTACGTGACAGTCTGGCTATTGTTTTGCTCTTAATAAGTGACTGGTTAAAGTGCATGGGAGCATTTTTACAGTACAGTGAAGATAAGGTCTCAGCATCTCTATTTTTTTCTATCTATTTCCGTCTCTTGTTTAGTTGGATAACCTGGAGTTTGATGGGGAAGAGATCAGCGGTTTGGCCCGATGCCCATTTGACGCCAAGCAGACAAACGTTGCCCTGTTTGCTGGTATGAGAGCTGTCAGGATAATGAGGAGGATGATAAATAACTTTGCCATGATTTTTAAAGGTTTTGGATAAAATTAACGCTCCAACGCGAGTAGAAACTGATGTTACGCATAAATCAGATGCCATGAAAGTACAGTAAAGTGTGATGTCACGTGTGCATCTGAATGAGTCTGTACAGGAAACACTGCAAAAAAGCTCTTAATCAGTATTTTCAGCCTGTTTTCCAGTCATAATATTTAAAAAATTATCTTTGTTTTAAGCATTAAACTCACAAAATTGAGAAAGCTGGATTATTTACTGTACATACAATAGTAGGAACACTTAAGTAAAAAGCAAAAATGCTATGAAATACCATGTGCACTGTATCTTGCATTGAAGAATATAAATAATCAGTGCTTTTTTTTCTTTCTTTTTTTGTTGGTCTAAATAGACCTTTCATTCGTCTTCGAATTCGTTTTGCTTTTCTGTTTCATTCTCGGTGTAAATTGGCCTTTAGTGTTCGGTGAATGTGTGCTGAATTCCAAGTACATTGCGTGAGTTGTATGCAATTGTGTAGTGAAGTCGAAGTGTGTGTTTAAGCTCACGTATTTATGTGTCATAGACGGTAAGCTGTACTCGGCCACGGTGGCGGACTTCCTGGCCAGCGATGCTGTGATTTATCGCAGCATGGGAGACGGTTCTGCCCTTCGGACCATCAAGTATGATTCCAAGTGGTTAAAAGGTACAGAAACTTTTGCTTGTCTGCTAGTCTGTTTTTATGCTGACATGGCTAAATTTGTTAAACCCAGTACACATCTGAACCATAACCTCTAACCGTACCTTAAAGAAGTGGGTCAGTGTGGGAGAACAGAAAATGGCGGGTGTTGATATAAAATCCAGCTTTCTGTGGCACGATCTAGGTCAACGCTCAGGCATTCCACTCAGCCAACAAAAACGCATCAAAATTTAACTTGGGGTCAGTGATGGAGATGCTAATGCTTCTTTCTCTTTCTCTTTCTCTTTCTCTCCCAGAACCACATTTCCTCCATGCAGTGGATTATGGGGATTTCGTCTACTTCTTTTTCAGAGAAATCGCAGCCGAGCACAACAACTTGGGAAAGGTATGACTTGCAACTTAATGTGCAATGCTAACGTTGCTACAGATGCTAAAGTTCACAAAACACACACAAAAAGTAATGTGACGGTACCATGGTACAGTTTTGGTAATCCTGTTGTATCTAAACTGTGATAATACAGTTCTGATTTGCATGTTAATGTAGTATTCACTGGCTTTTATTTAGAGATGAGCATTTGTCCCAGAGGGTCAGTATATCATCCGTTGCCTCAGGATTTGCTTTAAATCGGCCCGTATAACGACTTCTTTGTGCCACAGACTAATGAATATTTAAGTTTAGTTAATTTTGCAGTCAACACGTGCATCGAGAGCAGGTTTTACAGTAGTGAATTATTAAGGTGGTAACATGGTGCTAATTCAAGCCCTCAAGCACACTGCAGTTTTGTTCTCTCTAAGAGAAAAAAATATTTCTTGCGTATATTTAGATTCAACTGAGCCGCTTGGGAGATAGATCTATTATTTAGAGAGCGATGCTGAGTTTCTCCCACTATTTTTCTCTCACCGCAGGCGGTTTACTCCAGAGTGGCTCGGATCTGTAAAAATGACATGGGAGGGTCTCAGCGGGTGCTGGAGAAACACTGGACATCTTTTGTTAAGGCTCGCCTGAACTGTTCCGTTCCTGGAGAATCATTTTTCTACTTTGATGTCCTTCAGGCCATTACAGACATAATCGACATTAATGGGGTGCCTTCTGTGGTTGGAGTTTTCACCACCCAGTTGAACAGGTAAAGCTTGTCACAATCCTTTCCATAAAATCATATAAAAACATGAAAACAGGCTGAATAGCGCTAACACCACTCTTTCGATTTATTCAGTATCCCTGGCTCCGCGGTGTGTGCGTTCTCCATGGAGGACATTGAGAAAGCGTTCCGTGGCCGTTTCAAAGAGCAGAAGACGGCAGATTCAGTGTGGACACCATTTCCAGAGGAAAAGCTGCCCAAGCCCAGGTTGGTGCACGGCACTAGTGCGTGACGGGCTAATCATTGCGAGATTAATAATTAACATGTGATAATTGGACATGCTGCATATTTAACCTGTGTGTGCAGTGGCCATATGGAGGCGGGTATAGATTTACAGGCATGTGGCACATGGTTCTTTGCCCTCTTTCCCTCAACCGGAACTGCATGTGTGCGCGTTTTGTCTTTTCAGACCCGGCTGCTGTGCGGGACACGGTTCAGCGGAGTCCTACAAAACCTCCATCGAGTTTCCAGACGAGACCCTTCAGTTCATCAAGTCACACCCACTCATGGACCCCTCGGTCCCCTCCATTGGAGACGAACCGTGGTTCACCAAAACAAGAGTCAGGTATGGGCAAATTGCCACCATTCAGCCTAGTCTCAAAACCTTGTTCTGACACGATCACAAGATTTGCTGCAACCTAGACTTTCGACTAACAGCAAAGTCTAAGTACTGCCCACTTTGACAGGAAGAGACTATCTGATCAACATGTAAACCCAGCTCCTTTTTATTAGACTTTTTTAAAGGTGGATTTATCTGAAATGGTTACATTTCATAAGCAGAAAAAAATATATACCCATCAGAAGAAAATCCAATACCTACACCGATTATACAATCACATAAGAACACACTGAACAGTTTGCCATCTAGACCCAGTGTTAGCTGTTAAATAAGCATCAGGTAAACATTTTATAACCCTCCCAGCAAAGAGTGTTGGTTTCACGTTCTAAACAACTGGCACGCCTAATTTCACTAGTTCAGGTCTTGATAGATGTGTCGCGTTTCAACATGTTTTGTCCTGTGCCAGATCAAGTTAAGCTTTTGTAATGCAGGCGTCTCCTTGTAACTGAAAAGCAGCCCTGCACTTAAGTGTTTTTCCTTCTTCTTTGTAGGTATAGGCTAACGGCACTCGCCGTTGATAACACCGCAGGACCCCATAAGAATTACACAGTGGTATTCATTGGCTCTGAGGCAGGCATCTTGCTAAAAGTTCTGGCCAAGACATCCCCGCTGTCTTTGAATGACAGCGTCCTACTGGAAGAGATCGACGTTTTCAACCAAGCCAAGTATGTTCTAATCCTATAATTATCTCATGATCATTCTCTTTGTCTTTACATTGTGAGAAACTTATTTGTAGACCCAAGAGTCATTTTATGAAACTATCATGGCTATTTACCTCAAAAATTAAATTGTCTTTTTGTGACCTGATTGAGAGTTTTGGGATGTTTGAGATGAGATTAAATATGTTTAATGTGAAAGCAAAAGGTTTTCACTTTCTCCTCTGCAGTGTCAGTGTGTGTGTGTTGTATGTGTGTTTTGTTCTCTTTCTGTTAATATATGTGGCTAAAGAAAGTATTGACTGACAGATAGATCCGATAACGTATGATTTATCTGTTCGTCACTGTCTCCCTCCCTCTGTTCTGTTTTTCCCAGGTGTTTATCCAGCAATGAGGATGATAGGGGAATTCTGTCTTTCCACCTAGATAAAGACACCCACACGCTCTATGTGGCCTTTTCCAGCTGTGTGGTCAGAATACCACTCAGCCGCTGCGAACGACACAGTTCCTGTCAAAAGTGAGTGATGAATGCAGCTCTACTTAGGCATTGTTTATACAGGGAGCAAAATGAAAAAAAAATTGGCATATCTAAATTTTATTTTATTAGTCTGAACAGCAAAAAACCTTCTCAGCAATTGTAAGGTGTGTTAATCTTTCATATTGTGCTGGTATAAACATTAGTTTTTGTGTTGCAGGTCTTGTATTGCTTCTAGAGACCCGTACTGCGGGTGGATGTCACATGGAGCTTGTGAACGTATTCCTGCAGCTATGCAGTAAGTCCTATAATAATTTAAAACAGTCCGATTTACCTAGAAAAGGCAAAGGGGAAAAACTAGGTATGCTAAATGAAATTACAGACATATTTCCTGCAAAGCTAAACTAGATTCGCCCATCAGTCCAAATGTATTTCCTTAGTCCTTAGAACACAATTACTTATCCCTCTGTCTTTTCTTTTTTTTGCAGAACTGGTTATGAGCAAGATGTTGAATACGGGAACACTGCTCATCTCGGCGATTGTCATGGTGAGCTAGTCAACACGTGCGCCCTTTAAGAAATATTAGTTAGTAGTTCTCACATCAATAACCCCCTTACACTCTCAGCTGATGGAAATTAACACATATCACACAAACATCATACTAATTCCTCTGACAATTAAACAAACACATATGTACACATACATTGTGTAGGCCTGAACATCACAGAAACATACACCTGCAAGTGAAAGAGCGATACAGCTTAAACCAGAGGAAAACAAACACTTTTTGATAATTTGATAAAAACAGTTGTAGCTTTTTTATAATTTCAAACTTTTATTTTTGTTATTTTATGCTGATTTCCTGTTCCTTTAATTCTTTTAGAATTTTTGGCCACTACATCAGCGCCAGATTTCAAATCATATGGCGACCCAACCTCTGGTTAGTTTCCTGTACTGCACTGATTTCCTACCTTGAGTTCATCATTCTCCAAATCTCCGTCTTTTTTCCTCTTCTGCTGCCGCCTACCTTTAATCATGTGTTCTTCATCACACCATCATCACTATCATTAAGAGGGCACCTGATCTCTCATTACCAGCTTTTCCATCATTTCATGCATTTGTTCTTGCATGGATATGTGCTACCTCCATCTTATCTCCCTGGACTATATTGTCGCCGTCTTATTCTATTAAAGATGGTCTTCATCCTTTCCCTCCTATCAGGCTGAATTTTTCCTTACCTTAGACTCTGCACAGCCATTACTTACCTGTAATGGTCCAAAGAGTCAATCTCTAAAAAATAACCTCAATGAATCGTATAAACTGACATATGTCAGTCCTGTCAGTATGCACTAACCCCCGATCGTTACGTTGCGCCTATCATGGGCCCCGATTCTTAACAGTTTGTTTATCGCTACAGACATGGAGTTGCCATCCTCGTCAGTCACAGTGCCCGCAAGTTCTGAACCCATACAATCACTCCAAACCATCCCCACTCAGACTCCCCAACTCTTTGGCTCACGGAAATCTGTGCTCCGCGATGACCCAGCCACTTCACATTCTGTTGAACCTATACCAGGTGTGCTGGAGGGTAAGGCCTTGACCAGAGCGCTCTGCGCTGCTGCATGGAATTCTGGGTAATAGCTGCTATTAGCGCTGCTAGTCATATGAGAGAGTGCATACATCTCTAAAAGCAGCCCATTCCTTACGAAAATGGCTTGATAAGCAATTCTGTCACACTACATTAGCAAAGTAGAGATACAGACTCCTAATGCATGTGCTTTTGAAAACTTTCAGATCAGCACAATGCCTTGTTGTCTTGAAGTGTATTAAGATCATACAAGCAGCTATACTCAGATTCCATCAGCGTATAAAGCTTTTTATTATTATTTCTCCTACTTTTATGTTCCTATGATTTGTTCTCCACTTTTAACTTTATTTTATATAAAATCTAAATTCATGCATTTTCTATGGGATTTTTTTTTGTTCAATCTGTCCTAAATGGCTACATCTTTATCTTCTTTCATCCATTTCTTTATCTGCCCATTGTTTTGGGTTTTAGGAAATCTTCCAAAGGCCTTGCCACTAAGCAACACTTTTAAGCACATCTAAAGCAAAATGATTCTCTGACTAACTCTTTCGAATATCTGCGGATGCTAACAGAACTCACCCTCGAATAAGTGGGCTTAATTATTTTTGGGAAAACTCTCATGTAAAACCAGAACATACTAACTCACCTGATACTCAACCCTTGTGCAATAAAATGTTCCACCACTCCTCTTTACTAATTTGCCTTCTTCACTAATATAATAACAGGGTACTGCATTGTATTTTCTGAATTTTCTTTGAAAAGTTTCTAAAATGTTGAAAATAAAAGTAGTACACTTTTGATTCACGCCAAATGGTTGAGCATGTTTTGGGGGAAAGGACTTTTTGCTTTAAGAGAGAGTTGTTCTGTGCTCAACTGTCTGAGTGTGCTAACATGCTGTTTGGCTATCTGTGTTGCAGGTGTGTGGGAAATACAAGCAGGTGAATCTAACCAGATGGTGCACATGAACATCCTTATCTCCTGTGTGTTAGCTGCATTCCTGCTTGGTGCATTCATCGCCGGCATGGTCGTTTACTGCTATAGAGACGCTTTCCTTCGCACACCACGCAAGATCCAAAAAGATGCAGAGTCAGCACAGTCCTGCACTGATTCCACTGGCAGCTTTGCCAAGCTCAATGGTCTGTTTGACAGTCCTGTCAAAGAGTACCAACCTGATATGGATTCTCCCAAACTCTACACCAACCTGTTGAGCAATGGGAGGGAGGTGCCAACCAACGGAGACACTAAGACAATGCTCCTGAGTGGGCAGCCACCGGAACTAGCTGCACTGCCTACGCCTGAGTCCACACCTGTGCTACAACAGAAGAGCCATCAGCCAATCAAGAACCAGTGGGAGAGAGCTCATGGTAAGATAAGTAGCTCCCGCAAAGAAGAACCATCAAAAAGCCCACAATACCTTCCCTCCAGTCCACCTCCCCATTCTGCCATTAGCAACCCCCACATCCCTAGTGCTGTGGTACTGCCCAATGCCACACATGAAATCAGAGGATCATTCAGTACTCCCGAAGGGCCTCAAGCAGAAAAGAAGATCCAGAATAGCGATCAACATGGTTCCAAATCTGGCCGTAAAGACCAGCGACGCACTGTGGATGCCAGGAACACGCTGAACGACCTCTTGAAGCATCTGAATGAGAGCAACCCCCCAAAGGCCATCATGGTGGAGATGCCCAAATCCCGACAGCACCTAATGCTGGAACCCATTATAAGCCCAATGGAGATTCCACCCAAGGTCCCAAGCCGAGAGGCCTCCTTGTACTCTCCCTCTTCATCTTTACCCAGGAATAGTCCGACTAAAAGAGTGGATGTGCCGACTACACCAACATCACCCACAGGCCAAATGGGAACACTCGAGAGACAGCGGTATCACCGCAGCTCTTCCCAGCGACACTCCATATCCTCGCCGCCCAAAGGGCTGCACTCACCTAGCGGGGCCATAGTGTCCCGCCAACCTAGTATGAACAGAGGTGGGTACATGCCCCCAACTCCTACCCCACCCACTAGACTAGACTCTCACGGGGTACCAATGGCTATGACACCTTCTGTATCCCGACAGAGCAGCTACAGTGGTCACGGATCTTTACCACGAACATCCATCAAACGGACAGCATCGTTAAAGCCCGATGTGCCACCCAAACCCAACGGTTTTGCACCACAGACTGCACAAATGAGGGCAGTGAACAAGTATAGCTACTGAAATGCTTAGCAAGATCTTACTCTTTGAATGGACAGTGGGAGTAAAAGCGCTTGGCCCGCAGAGATATGGCCTTTCCTTTGAAGGGAAATGAATCGGATGCCAGAGCTTCTGTTTCGGGTAGTTGTGCTAGTTCTCAATGACCATGTCCAGTCACGCTTGAGTGACAGGTGACGGATTCTGATCTTTAAGGCGGCAGGGACGCCTGAGGTCATAGGTCACAGCTGACGTGCAGCATAAAGCTGCTGCGTAGTTGCTGTGGCGGTCGGGCAGTGAATGCTCCCCCCTGCACTGTTCTCCCCATCAATGTGAACTGTATTTGTTAGACTGTTTGGAAAATTTGGTATTTTCGCTTGGATATCTCTCAAGAAGACAGAAAGAGTCAAAGGGACACGTTGTGTGTCTGTGTTTGATTAGTCTCCGGGGCTAACCAGTGTGCATTCATTGCCCATGTTTTTTTCAGTAAACTTGAGAACAAGTTTGAGTCAGCGCTGTCATAAAACTAAATTCCATTTAAGGTGCATTAACATCAGATGTGTTTGGACACAGAAGTCCAGACATTAATTAATAATTTCTGCGTGCAAAAGAAATGCCCAGGGCCCCTTACTTGGACTACTGATTTTAAAACTCACAGGGTAAAAGTGCCCTCAACATTTGTGCTGCTAAGTGTAGATGATGACAGTGTTTAACTCCAGTGTGATGACGTTCCATGCAGCGGCTCTGCGTGTCAAGCTGCTGCAAGCTTTTAAACCCACAGACTCAGCACAGGATCACGCTGGTCAAATGTACTATGTTCTGTTTTTAGTTCCAGAAAATCAATGGGAATCCTGTAATCCCATAAAGTCAACTTTCAACTATGACACAAGGCAGATCATTGATCAACCTCTCTCCTTTCCTTCATGCCAAATACTGCTGTTGGGACTATAAAGTTATTTCTCTTCCCTCTGAACCATTGAATATTCCTTCCAGTTTACACAATTTTAGAGAACTTGCTTCTTGGTTCCTGGGCAAAGTATTACATAAAACTGCAAACAGCACATTCCTTACTTTAAACCACTCCTCAGCTCTATACTAGACCCTATCCAAGAGATAAGCTTCACTCTGCTTGTTTTAAATAATAGAGGCCTCAATTGCATACTCACTATAAGTGTACAATCACTGCAATACCGTACCAGTGTGTCTTGCAGAGTCGTGCCAGTGATTATTGTTATTGTAAATATACAACTATTTAAGTGTGGACATTTTCAAAGCAAGTTGACCTGGATTTGTATATTTGTGTGCCTTATTAAAGTTATTAGAGCTTGGTTTGGTTTTGGATATTTCACAGTCAACATTTTTTTTTTTCAATATGAGCAGAGAAGGTACACCTTTAGGAAATTATAATAATCTAAATATATTTGAAGTGGGGGCAGGTGCACCCTTAGAATGGTTTCTTTTATATAAGAAGTTTTCAGAATGAAAATGAATGCAAACAAAGATTATAATAATTAATTAGCCATTTTCTTATTGCTACTTTGTTCTTATGTGTTTTTGGAAGGTGCTAATTTGCAATGACAAGATGCCATATAATGAATGTATTATGGATCTAAAATGTTTATCACCTGACTCTCAGCTCACAATATTTCACAATATTTAATTGGGGTCAAAACAAGATGCGTTTTTAGAGAGGAGTATCTACGATTAGGGACTCACAGTTTGTTTGAAATGACTAGGGAATTTCAGTGTATCGAGGTAAAACTTGCCTCTTCAAGCCCAAAGCTCCATGTTTGTTTACATGTTCTGATTGTATTTGAGCAACTGAGCGGAGGCTGATGCATCATCACCTGCTAAAGATCAGTTTTATTAAAGGAGAGAGAGTTGATCCTGTGCTCTGGTTCAAGTTGTCCTGTGTTGAGCTGCCTTGTATATTGCAATATAAATCTGCAATCTGACTTCAAGCCTTTATTGTTCAGTCGATATATGTGCAAAGAAACCAGACTGGTTTACCTTTTATTTTTAATACTGTGTAAACATTGGCAGTTGAAATACAGCTTTTCTTTTCTGGAATATTTTAATGTGTAGATATTGTAAAGCTGTTCTGAGAAAATGTAAATAATTACAGTCATTGTTTAAGAATATTTTTGTTGACTTTTTTTAACACAGCATGTATAGTTGAAATAAAATATTACTGCACAGAAAAAGGTTTTCTTTCTATTTTTGGTAATGAAGAATGATACATCTGAAACACATACTTGTAAAATAGATTAAAATATAATCTGCAGTCATGGGATACCTGAGAATCATGGGATTTGTCACCCATGATGTCAAACTTGGTGTGAATCCACTCTTTACAGGATGAGTAAATGAAAAAAGGGGGTAATATTTGGGTGAACTCTTCCTTTAAACTTGAAGCATGTTTGAATTCAAATTTTCTGAAATGCAAATATTTTGCAAATGAACACTGAACCCCAACACAACTCTCCATCCTGAACCTGTGAAATTCAGAGCTGCAAGACTGATGTTTTTATCGTCTTCACTGATGAGAGACTTAGCACAGAATTTATTTTTAGACCCTTGTTTTGAAATCTCGGTGGAGAATAAGCCATTCCACATCTCGTTGGGAAATCCTCCAAAGTCATTTGTAAGCTGAGCACCCAACATCTGTTCCACTGGCTCAGACTACAGTCACATACACATTTGCTCACGCACACACACTCACTGGTAGCATCAGGTATCCAAGATCATTTGAGAGACTTCACTAGAATTTCAGTAGTGGCCAATGTTTAGACACGTCTGGACTGGAATATTCAAGAATTTATTCCAGAATGTGTATAGTTGGTTAAGAAGGTCATTAAGTGGAAAGTTCCCTTGTCTTCTATGCTGTTTGCATAGTGTTTTGATAATAAAAAAATATGTAATAATTTAAAAACTTTCAGTGCACAGCAGTGATGTGCAATACTGTTTTGAGCAAGAAATCTTTCTTCAGCATTAAATCAACATATTAGAATGATTTCTGAAGGATCATGTGACACTGGAGTAATGACTGCTGAAAATTCAGCTTTGTCTTCACAGAAATAAATTACATTTTAAAATATATTCAAATAGAAAACTTTATTTTAAATTGTAGTAATATTTTACAACATTACTGTTTTTCTGTATTCTTGAAATGCGATTAATTCCATATCCGTATCGCGTTAAAATAATTGAACGCAAATAAATTACTGAAGCATGTGAATTTTGTCTTATTAACATAATTACGTCACGCAGTAAGATGATGTTGGGAGTTGGAAGTTTATCACACTGACCATCTACAATGCTGCAAGCACCAACCCTGGTAGGCGGAAATGTCTATTCTAATCCATTAACCCGATTTCACTTCTCTGTTGCCATCAGATCAAGCCTCTAAACTCCTGGAAAGTTTTCAGTCCAATGATCCATCCAGTTAGGGAATTAATTCAAACAATCAGTCTAAACAGCGCTAATATAAAGAAATCAAGTTGGCTTATTAAATCAGAGATGGCAGATATAGACTCACATTGCGTTTTCATTAATTATTACATTATTCATGTTAATTATTCATTCCAGGGTGTGTTTCGCTTTAAAACACGAGCTCTGTCATATTCTGTGGTTGTTTCTGAAGAGCGCGAGTCTAAAGTACCTTTCAAGGAAAGTCTGTTCACTCTGCGGCCATATTTGCAACGCCTCTGGGCAGCTATTTTAGGCATCCAAGATCAAGTCCTATCTATTTGAATGGGGGAATCCTGAAATATCAAAAACTGCTTGGTGAACTCACGAATAAATAACACATTTCAAATCAGCAACATATTCTGACATGAACTGTCCCATAAATGTTGTTCCCTTGCGTAGTCACTCCGAGTTACGTCGGATGACGGAGAATGGGGGTTTCGCCAGAAAGCCTATCATCTTCGAGTATTAAAAAACGAGCCTAAATGCCATGGGTCTGCGGAATTTGCATAATGTATCTCCGCCCCACCGCGTGGGTATTTAAGGAGAGACACCTGCAACAGCAGATCATGTTTTCGCTTCGGAGCCAAGAGCATCTCTTCACTCCACAAGCCAAATCCTGAGTTTCTAATCAGTGACTTCATCTCTTCGAGACGAGCGAACTCTCCGGTGTTGGTGTTACGGCGGTATCCAGCGAGCTTCACATTGCCTGCGATCTGAGCAGTGGTCTGCTGTCTGTGTGTCTCTCCCTGGTCGCCCCAGCATCGCAGAGTTTTTCCTCTCTAAAAGAGCTGCACGTGGCACGTCTTTTTAAAGATGTCTCGCCCGTGTTCTTCTGGGTGCGGTCGATATTTGTCATCCTTTGATGGGCACAATCGCTGCTTTGCGTGTCTGGGCTTAGAGCACGCTAAAGCAGCGCTTGTGGATGACTCATGTTATTTCTGTGGGAACATGACCATCGCAACACTGAGGTCGAGACTCAATAATCTCGTTCGAGAGAGAGTCCCCTCATCCACACCCCGATCTACACCCTCCACGAGAGGTGGTACTTCGGCTGGTGGACAGGGTGACTTGAGGGTGACAGTGTGGAACAATCCGACGATGCATCCTCGGACCACGCCCCTCTCTACAGTGTTGCAACCCGCGAGTGCCGCGGTGATTCAGGCGGGTCCATCTGCGGATGCCCCGCGTGTTTCATTCGGCGCTCCAGAGGAGGATTCAATGTCGATCACGGCATCACAAGGCGGGCAAGAGTCATCGGGAAGTTATGATGTGGCCCTCGTTGCCTGCCTCGGGAGTGCCAGTGTTGCCCGTATCAGATCCCGAGATGACCGCCATGCTCTCCCGGGCCGCCGCCCTGCCCGAGCGCTCGCGGCTGGATGATTGGTTTTTGGGTGCGGCTGCCGCCTCACGGCCACAGCCAACCCCAATTCCATTATTCCCGGAGGTGCACGAGGAGCTGTCGAAGTCATGGAAGGCTCCTTTGACCTCCCGTGAGCGTTCGACAGCTTTCTCCGGCTTTCCTCCCCTCGATGGCGCGGTCGCCCATGGGTACACTGGGATTCCCCCGGTTGAACGCTCTGTTGCGATGCAACTGTGTCCTCAGATTGCTTCTTCTCGTGGTACTCCTAAGCACCCGTCCAAGGCCTGTAGATTCTCGTCTACCCTGGTGGCGAGATCTCACAGAGCTGCAGGACAGGCGGCTGCTGCCCTGCATGCGATGAGCACCCTGCAGGTCTACCAGGCCAGGCTGCTCAGAGATATGCACGAGGGCAGGACTGACCCTGAGCTCTTCGATGAGCTGCGTGCCGCCACTGACCTCGCTCTCCGAGCGACGAAAGTGGCCTCACGTTCCTTGGGTCAGGTGATGGCCACCTCTGTGGTCCAGGAGCGTCATCTGTGGCTGAACCTGGCCAATATGCGAGACGTTGAGCGGACTCGTCTGCTCGACGCCCCCATATCCCAGGCCGGCCTCTTCGGCGGAGCGGTTGAAGACTTTGCCCAGCAGTTTTCAACCGCACAGAAGCAGTCTGAGGCGATCAAACATATTCTGCCCCGACGGCCCGCTGCTGCCTCCACCCAGCCGTCGGTACAGACGCCTCGGCCTGCTCGCCGTCGAGGGCGCCCTCCTGTGGCTCCCGCCCCTCCCGCACAGCCCCAGCAGCAGCCTTCACCCGGGCCGCGTCGTGGAGGAAGCCGCAGGAAGGCGCCCCAGCCCTCTCCAGCCCCGCGCCCCACTAAACGCCAGGCCAAGCGGCGCTCCTGAGACGGGCTGCTCAGTGATGGTGTCGTTTTTTTTCCAGGAGGCGGTTGCAGGCCCCCTCCTTCCCCCGGTGGAGGGCCGGGGGAGAATCTTTTGTTCTCCACTCCCCGCTGCTCACCCACGGGTGGGAAGCACCCTAATGTGGTTAAAGAAAGAACCAAAATATCCATCACTGAGCACACAGAGCCAGATGACAGTGCGCGACGCCCCCGGGCCTCGCCGCTCTCGTCCCCCTCTGTCCCTGAGGGCGCGGATGACAGTGTGTGCCGTCTCCGGACCACACCACTCTCGTCCCCCTCTGTCGCCAGACCCCTGGCAGAGCAGACCCCCGTGGAACGCTGGTCCTTCCCTGGTCTCCTCTGTCAGGACGCGGAGTATGACCGCGCCCCCGCACCGGGCCGCTATGCCACCCACGCCTGGGCCGGTCACTCCGCTTCGCTGCCCCTCCGGGGGGACGTCTGTGGTTCGGATGATTCCACTGGTTCAGTTCTTGGGAGCTTGGTTAGAGCTTCCCAACCTGTCCCGCTGGGTCACCCGAACTATCAGGCTCGGCTATGTGATTCAATTCGCACGGTCTCCTCCCCGCTTCAGGGGAGT